GTAAAAGCTGAAATAATGACTACATCACTATCAACTGTTATTGAAAAGATCGTTAGCAATTCTTCTGCATAGGTACGTGTAGTTTATAGAAGCGATTTAAAAAAACTGTCAAGCGTACAGTGCGAAAAGAAGGCTAGATAATGATGAATTAAGATAACAAATAGGTTGAAAGTGTTCAGTAATTTCTCAGTCTGTTAGCTGGTCACAAAGTCCAGTGGAATACCAGTCAATTAAACTAGGCTTGGAACCAGCAGGACTTCTTAAATGTTACTTTAAATTTTATACCGTTCTTCCCCAACAAGTCACTGAAAGGTCGGCACAGAGAGACGAAACATAGTGGGAGAGCATTAGGTATCAAGATAAGCAGAGTATATTTGCGTTTTCAGGCGAGGTTCAGGGACTCAGAAGAGGAAGTCCAAGAAGTCCCATCCCAGAGCCGGGTAAGGGCATTTTTATGCTCGTTGTCAAGAGTGAAGACTTGTTTTTTGGAGAAGTATAGTTCTAGGAGTTGTTTGTGCAGTTACTGCTGATTCGTATTGAGGACCTTCCATCCATTGCCCACACCCAGTTCTGGGTACCTCTGGGTATAGATACCGAAGTCTAGGTTCCTCGGCCCGGGAGGCCTAACAGTCACTGTCTCATTTCTAAATGATGAATCCACAGATTCCTGTGATATTTTTGTTTGTTGTGTGTGTTTCTGAGAAGTTCTAACAGGTCGTTGGTGAACTTTTTATTTTTATACTTTCACTTATATTTCATAGCTATAGAGAGAAGTGCTTTGAATCCTTCCTCATGACTATTTCACAGTAACAAAACCAAGAAGCTGGCATTAGTTCTGTCCACAGAACTTATTCAGATGCCTCCAGTTAAACAAGCACTCATTTGCACATGTTTGTGTGTTTCATGCAGTGTCAAAACATGTAGTTTCATGTAACGACCACCACAAACAAAATATGGAGCCATTTCATAACCACAAGTCTTGTTCTGGCATTTCCATTTTACTTCCATATAACCACTTACATCCCTCCCCCAAATCCTAACCCTAATAGCTCCATTTCTGTAATTATGTTACTTCAAGAGCAGCACAAAAATGAAATCATACAGAATGTGTTCTTTTTCTTTCTAAATTCAGAGTGATTCATTCAAGGTCCATCCAAATTGTGTATATAAAACTGAACTTGTCAAGTCTAAATAAGTCACAGTCTTCTGGTGATTCAAACAAAAGTTTATCCTCACATGATAGCAAATAAAACCTGATTCACTTTTAAGTGAGGTTTCTATCAGAAATGGTTCTTATTCAAACTGTTTCTATCTCATCTTAAATGAGACTGTTCCTTTTATTTTTACCTAATTATGTCAGAATATCTGACTACTTTAAAAAATGTCTTGTTCTAACATTATTAGCCTTTTAGATTATTTGGTTGAATTTGTCTTACGTTGCACTTTGCTTGAGGATTCAACTGAACTTATGATTACCAAAAATCTATGCTTCGTAATGAAAATAATAGAGTACTTCACAAACATTTTGTCTCAGTTAATGTAGTAATGATGGGCAGCAACATTCTTAAAACAGTTTGTGGTAGAATGAACAACTGTTAATCTCATAAAGAAAAATGCATTAAAAGTTGAGAGAGGTTGGCTGGGAATACATCCTCAATCTCTTTAAATTCTTACTTACTCTAAATTCATCTTACTCTACCCATAAAAACCTTTCCTGCAAGTGGTATCATTTCTTTCCATTCTTCATATATTAAAAAATCTGGGGCCCTACTTGGAGGCGCAGCAGGTTAAGCACAGCACTAAGAGGCTTGAGTCACTTCCTCATGAGTTTGATCCCCGCCTGCACTGGAGGAGATCCACATGGCGTGGCAGACCTCTCCTGACCCGCCTGCTGCTCCCCTCAGCAGTGTACTTCGTTGATCTGCCTGTTCTGCACTCCCCACTCTGCCCCTGGTGAATCCTCTCACCCTCCGCATCTCTGGCCTGTACCCCAGTTCTGTATGAATAAATAAATCTTTAAAAAAAAAAGTCTGGTAGTTCCAGAATATTCTTTCTCCCTCCACTGTAGAACATGTCAGCTTTAAAGGCCTCCCATCATGCACTGCCAACTACTGTACCTCTTGCTGTAATAATCTATTGATCCCTAGGTTACTCACCCACACAATGATTGAGGACTCAAATGTCCAACAAACAATCTTTCTAACATCCTAGCCTTCCTATGCCATGGTGCTTTCTGGTCCAATGAACTTTCCTGCAACCCTACACCTGACTCACACAGTCCTGCCTGTAGACATTGTCATTATCAACAGCCTTCAAGCTCTCAACTTCAAACATCACTCAATGTTTCCTGACTTTCTACCTTACCCTCTGTGGTAGTTTGACCCCACCAACACTCTTCACCAGTGAGGCCGTCCCCATCTTGTACTCTAATGTACCTCTCCCTTTCATGTCCTTACATGACTCTTCTGGTTTTCCTCCCATGGCCTCAAATTAAAATCACACCACTCTATATGTCTTCAATGCCCTGCTTTTTTTTTTTTTTTTTTTTTTTGCTTAAGTACTGACATGTCAACCCTCAACCTTGAAATCCATCCTTCAGTCCACATATGACACCCTGCCCAGTAGCAGTGACCAATGAAGCATCCTTTCATTTAAATTCGTGATCTTGCACAACAATAGTCTAGTTATACTACTGTTTTCCCCTCTTACATTTGCTTCACCGTTCTTCTGGATGATTATTTTGCATCTTCTCTTCTCCTCTGAAATCTTCAGTACTTTCTGGCTGTTTCACTCTCAAAGATCACCTTGTTTCTCCTATTTCACTGAGACAATAGCAGGAGCCAGGAGAGAGCTTCTTTAAACTCTCCCCACCTTTCTACCAGTTTATCTGCCTCTATGTCCATAGACTCTGCCTGCCTTTCACTTATTGTAAAAGCTGGCTGTGGCCACCTTATTCTCTTGTGCATGGATTCCTTACTCAGGTCTGAGTCCAGGATTGGTGGCATCTGCTTGACAAACAACTCAGAGGCCAGGGAGCAGGAAGGAGACTGGTCTGGCTGAGGGGGGATGTATACAAAAGAAGGTAGCCCAGAGAGCCCTGGCCAGAGAGCAGGGACAAATGGGGAAAGCTTTGAATATTAGCCAGGGGCTCTGCAGCCAGTGACGGCGTCTGAGCAGAGAGGTGAAAAGGAAACCACCGAAGGTATCTGACAGAAAAGTAAAGAGCTCACAGTGGAGATACAGGAATATTTTTTAGCAAGAAGAAGCTGAAAAACAATTGGGAGGCTACCACATAACCCAACAGCACAAGGTAGTCTATAAGGATCTGTTCAGTAAGTGAGAAGTAGCCGCTTATTGTTTGAACTTTCTAGGCTTATACATCTAAACAATAGTGGCAATATTATAATATATATAAACCCTCTGAGGATAATCTTCCTAAGACATCTCTAACACTGGTGTATGGACCCCTTGGGGCTCTCACAGTGCCTGGTACATATTACTTGAAATTCTGTCGATGTTAGTTGAAAAAGTGAACAGAGTAATTTAGGAGAATAAAATATCAGCTTAAGAGAAATTAAATTTTTGAGCACACACAGAGATAACCACCAGAAACTTAAAATAAGAAATTGAATCTTAGGAGGTTTTCAGACTGAAATAATCTAACCCTTAGTGGATGCTTTTAAATACATCTAGCACTAGGGATTTTTTTGAGCTTTTTAGAAGAGAATAATAAGAAAGTGTTCCTACCCTGGAGGTACTCACAGTTTATTAGACTGGAAATCCATTGTTTTAGTAGATGGAAATTATAATTTGATATGATCTTCGAGGAAGGAAATACAGTGTTGGGGAGAGGGGAGACAGAAGTTTGAGATCAGAATATGTAAGAGCACCTATCCAATAAGTAATAGGAAGAAAAATAATCCAAGCAGATATATACAAAGATATCTCAGAGAGTTTGGGAAAGAATGAAGAGAATTATCACAGTGGCCAGACGAAGTATAAGTTTCAATCCACCCGATACTATTAAAACATCCGAATGCTGATAAGGAGGTTATTGGAGTGTCAGAAAATATTAGCAGTATAAGCATACCAGAATGCAAGAAAGGTAAAAGCATTTTGGAGAACTAGAGATACGGTATGTAAGTTATCCTTTACAGAAACTGGCAATGAAAGAAAAGAAATTGGGAAATAAATTTTAAAATAAGCTGAAATAGATTGTTATGTAGGATGTGAAAAAAAATGATATTTTTTCCTCCTTAGGAGGTATTAGATACAGAAAAATTGGCAATCACTGCCTCTTTTGCTACTTTTAATCTTTTTAGATATTTCCCTTGTTGTCCAAATGAGTCTGTATTTCTGTCTTGACTAGATTCCATGCCCACCTCGTCCTCTCTTTAGCCCTGACACTTGACACATGAGAGACACTCAGAAGAGCTGGAACTCTAGAGCCATGAGTTAGGAGAGTTAAAGGTGAGGGAAGAAGACTTGGGAAAGCGACACTTTTGATTTTGAGACAAAGCAAGCGAACAGGATCTGTGTAGTAGCAGCACAAGGGGGAGTAGACAGGTGGGAATCTGAGGAAATTCCATCAGATAACTGGATCTGGCTAAGTGGGACTGGGCCAGGTGAGAGGCGCTAAAGGCTTTGAGGGCCAGCTAGAGAAAATGGGACAGGGAATTAATAAAACTATATTTCAGGGCCTTTCTAGAAGTGCACCCTCTTAACAGTCAGCTCAGTGTTCTCAGCCCTGAACGTATGTCAGAATCACCTGGGAAATCTATTTTTTAAATAATTTGTCTTGGCCCTCCCTGGTGGCACAGCAGGTTAAAGCACAGCACTAAGAAGCTTATGCCACTTCCGCATGAGTTCAATCCCGCCTGCCCTGGAGGTGACCACATGGTGTGGCAGACCTCTCCTGACCCGCCTGCTACTCCCCTCAGCATTGACTTCATAGATCTGCCTGTTCTGCTCCCCTCTCTGTCTCTGGTGAACCCTCTCACCCTCCACATCTCTGGCCTGTACCCCAGTTCCGTATGAATAAATAAATGAATCTTTAAAAAACATAATTTATGTCCTTACCCACAGAAATTCTGATTTAAGAAATCTGGAATCAGACCTTGGCATGGGTAATTTTTTTTTTAAAGATTTATTTATTTATTCATACAGAACTGGGGTACAGGCCAGAGATGAGGAGGGTGAGAGGATTCACCAGAGACAGAGTGGGGAGCAGAACAGTCAGATTGACAAAGTACACTGCTGAGGGGAGCAGCAGGCAGGCCAGGTCACCTCCGGGGCAGGCGGGGATCGAACTCATGAGGAAGTGGCTTAAGCTTCTTTGTGCTGTGCTTTAACCCACTGCGCCACCAAGGAGGGCCCGGCATGGGCAATTTTTAAACTCTCAGATAATGCTGAAGTGCAGCCAGAGAGGAAAACATCTGCC